TTTCTAGGCTCTTATGCTGTGTACTGTGCTTTTATCTATGTTTTGTGCAGTTTTTGCAATTTTGTGTCTGTATTTTATTAATGTTAAAGCACTTTGTGACTTTTGTCTGGGAAAAGCGCTTTATAAATAAATTTTACTTACTTACTTACTTACTTACATCATGGGAATCCCCCGGCAGTCAAAGCTATAGCAGCATAACTAAGGGACAGTTCAGGTGATCCTGAGCAGCTCTAACTATCAGTTTTATCAAAGATGAACGTTTTAAGCATAACCTTAAAAGTAGAGAGAGTGTCTGCCTTCAGAACCCAAACTGGGAGCTGATTCCACAACAGAGGAGCTGATAACTGAAGGCTCTGCCTCCCATTCTGCTTCTGGAAACTCTGGAACCGCAAGCAGACCTGCAGTCTGAGAGCGAAGGGCTCTGTTAGGATGATACGGTACAGTAAGGCCTTTATGGAGCTGGTCATTAAGAGTTTTATATGTTAAAAGCAGGTGTTTAAATTCTATCCTGGATTTTACAGGGAGCCACTGAAGAGAAACTAATACAGGAGAAATATGATCTCTTTGGACACAAGGAATTTAACATGGTGAATGAAATTGTGGTACACAGCAATAACAAGAAAAGCAATAAGTATAGAAATCTAAATCTAAGAAATTCTCAATAAAATAATATATGTAAAAGAGAAGTATAAAAGTACTGTGTAAATAGAAAGTGCTGTGAAGGAGACACAAACGTGCCTAAACCAGAGTAATAAATTAGAAAACAGTTTAAATTACAATATTACACATGAAATTGAAGAATTGCATATGTAATGATAATGCACAGAGGTAGTGCAACAGGAGTCTTTAGTGATTTAGTGACTGACTCTTCATGAGGGATATGGTAGGGATATGTTTTAGCAGCTCCTGTGGCAGGTTGAACTTCTTCAGCTGGCGGAGGAAGTACAGTCTCTGTTGGGCCTTTTTCACCACAGAGTCTATGTGGGTCTCCCATCTCAGGTCCTGGGAGATGATCGTGCCCAGGAACCTGAAGGACTCCACAGTGGCCACAGTGCTGTTCAGGATGGTGACGGGGAGGGATGCAGGGGGGTTCCTCCGAAAGTCCACTGTCATCTCCACTGTTTTGAGCGTGTTCAGCTCCAAGTTGTTGTGACTGCACCAGACAGCCAGCTGCTCCGCCTCCTCTTTGTAAGCAGACTCATCACCGTCCTGGATGAGCCCAATAACAGTGGTATCGTCTGCAAACTTCAGGAGTCTCAAGGAGGGGTGTGAGGAGGTGCAGTCATTGGTATACAGGGAGAAGAGCAGTGGGGAGAGAACACATCCCTGGGGGGCGCCAGTGCGGATGGTGGAGATGCTGGATGTGAAGTTGCCCAACCTCAGCAGCTGCTGTCTGTCAGAAAGATAGAGATCGACTGAAGGGGGGGATAGTTTGGAGAAGATCCAGGTATTGATGGCTGTGTCGGGAGATGGTTGGTGCAGGTGTGGGGTGTCAAGTCCTTTTCAAACCTGCAGTAGAACTGGTTCAGGTCGTCAGCCAGTTGTTGGCCCCCTACAGAGGTGGGGGTGGTGGCTTGTAGTTGGTGGTGTTCTTCAGGCCTTTCCACACTGATGTAGGGTTGTTTGCTGAAAGATGGCTCTTCAGCTTCTCAGAGTAGCTCCTCTTAGCTCCTCTGATCTCCTTTGTCAGTGTTTCTGGCCTGGTTGAACAACACTTTGTCCCCACTCCTGTAGGCCTCTTCTTTTGCCTGACGCAGCTGTCTACAAGTACATTTCAAAATAAAACTCCAAATATTTTAACCACAATGAATTTGGGTCCTTTACAGACCCTGGTGGCGTAGACTAGTTGTGGCGATGTGAAATGTCACATCACCGGCAGGGAAGGACCCTGAGCTGGTGCAGGAGGTGGAGCGATACCGGCTAGATATAGTTGGGCTCCCCACCATGCTCAGCAAGGGTTCTGGAACCAAACTCCTAGAGAGGGGTTGGACTGTCTCCTTGTCTGGAATTGCACCGCACAGCAGCTCAGAGTATTCAGTCTTTTCCAAGCGAAGGAGTTTAAGAATCTCAGTATCTTGTTCATGAGTGATGGGAAACTGGAATGTGAGGTGGACGGGCAGCTTGTTGTGGCATCAGCAGTATTGCAGGCATTATACCAGATCGTCTCGGTGAAGAAGGAGCTAAGACGCATGGCAAAGCTCTCGATTTATTCGAACGAAGAACATTCGAGTGAGAAAGGGCCATTCCTGCTTCTCTGGATCTTGTGCCACACAGCTCACAGAGAAACTTCCCCATACGCCAAGTTTACAAATGTGCTATGCAAACTTGACCACTTTGGGATAGCAGAGCAAACTGTAAGCATGCTTACAGCCTGTACACATGTCAATTACCCTGTAAACATTCAGTGTCACATTATGCATGTAATCCAGGTGTTATGAAAAAAAATGAATTGGTGTAACTTTAGAATAATTGTACAGCTCTACAAAAAATAGACAGATGTCTAATTGTTTGGGTAAATGTGACAATTATTTAAGCATATTTTAAAATGTTTTAAAATTTTGTTTTAAAACTGAATCCTGTTTACCTTTCATTGTACAGGAAAAGTAAGCCTTTTAAAAATAATAATATAAAGGCAGACACAGTTCTGTATAGAGTCCCAATCACAAAGCTGTCAGGTTTTACATTCGCCATTTATTTTGAGTTAGTATGTCACAGGGTCAGTCATGATGAGCTCTGCAGGAGTTCTAAGGGGGAAAAAACTGATGCACATTAAAACTCACCACCACAGAGATGGTTTAAGATCTTTACAGTAAGTTAAAAAATAAAATAGAGTTGTGTTGATGTCCAGCAACAATAATCGAGAGAGACAGGATAATGTTGCTGAAGTCTGGGCTGGTTGGACATGGAAAATGGCCATTTTATACAAGCTAGAGCTATGTGACATGCAAAACAGTTGCAAAAGGTGGTGACAGCAATTTCTCGATTCTTCCCTTTTTAAATTTTAAAAAAATATATCATATCACAAATACATCCAACTGTGCCAGTGTTAGGAAAAAGTAGAGATCAGTGCCAGAGCTGGTGCAAAGCAGAAATGAAGGGCCTGTTTTGGTTCTTGTTCTTACCTAATGGCTTGAATACGAGTATTAAGAAACACAGCTCACAGATTACAACAAATGAATCTGTAGAGGAAGCTACACCATGGTTAGAGATTTAAGGGTAGTTGATTCTGCTTAGGGCTGCATGGTGGCTCAGGGGTTAGCACACTCGCCTCATAGCTAGAAGATTCCCAGTGAGGACACCAGGGATCTGCGTGCTGCATGTTCTGTGCAGCGTGGGTTCTCTCTGGGTTCTCCGGTTTCCTCCCACAGTCCAGAAACATGTGGAGGTTAATTAGTGATTCTAAATTGTCCGTAGGTGTGAATGTGAGTGTGCTTGGTTGTCTGTCCCTAAGTGTAGCCCTGTGATAGACTGGTTACCTGTCCAGGTGAGCCTGCCTTCACCCTGACTCAGCTGGGATAGGCTTCAGCCCCCTCTACCCCTCGCGACCCTAGTGAGGATTAAGGTGTATAGATGATGGATGGATGAAAATATTAAGATTGAAGAAGCACATTCCAGCCTTAGACAATGCCTTAATTAAGACCTGTGATGAAAATCACTGCAGTTTTTTTGCCAAAGCAAAAGGAAATTAAAGTTACTGATTGACTATTCTCTGTGATAAATACCAACAGACGAAATCAACTGCCCAATGTGTGTTCCATTAGCTGCAGTACTACCAGTGTAAAGCAGACTTTGCAGCAAATCAGTACCAAATATAAAAACTGGAAGATGCAGGAGTCAGCTGGGATAGGCTCAAGCCCCCCCGACCCTAGTGAGGATTAAGCGGTGTATAGAGGCACTTATTAATGTGTTACACTGGGCTGTATGTGTGCTTTTGTTAGGTGTTATTCTTTAATTTACAGACATATTGACAGGCCTGCTATTGAAAGGCAGTTTTACAGAATAAAAAACAAACTTAGTTAATGCTATCATGGTTCAGTGCTGCCTATGAAGAACAAATGTTGCGACCATTGCCAAAAAAAAAAGTGCACAGAAATAAAAGTGATGCCCTTTGAAAGATCAAATAGTGTATAGTTTTTAAGACAAAAAATCTTTTAGCAGTTTTCTTGAATCTGAAGAATCCAAAAACTAGTGTCAAGTAGACAGATGCTTAGAGTGAAGCCACAATAACCCACTATCATCTTCTATCATTTAGTCGCATAGATACACAAATAATCCTCCAAATTTAGGTATTTCTCAAAGGTATGCTCATAGAAGTTGCAAAAATGATGCTTAGCCAGGTTTATTCTAGTATTTTTGGGGCTAAAACAGAGGCAGTATAGGTTGCCGTGTTGAAGAAGCAAGAGCAGAAAGCAGGTTCCAGGTGAATTTGAGGTGACCGTTGCCTGAACTGGTCACCTCAGTCACCAACCGGCGATTGCTGGAAGAAGGATGCGCTGCTCTTTGAGATGCAAATTATATGTAAATCACACTCCTGGCCCCTGCCCTCAGACTCCTTCCTTCCACACCAAAACAGAAAGTTGTCATTGAAAACAGAGAACATTGAAACATGGTTGTTGTTGTTTTGTTTTTTTTTTTGAATTGACTGTAAAAAAAAAACAAAACAACAACCAAAAACTTTACTTTAAAAGCACAGATATGAAGAGAAAAATATTAAACTTGTAATTGAAAATCACATTAAAATACAAATAAAACAAATAATTTTGAATATCTGTGATTCACTTTTCAGTGGAAATTCTTTTTTAGAGACATTTTAGGACCATTACAATTTGTTTAATTACAAATATTTCAATTCCATTTTTTTTTTTCAATGCCAAATTTTATTTTCAATGACAATTTTATTTTCTTTTTTAAATGACAACCTACACTGTCTTCGTTTTAGCCCCATAGATATTCTGCTTATCCAGGTATTCTGCCTTGTTTGGCACAAAGACTTTCCTGTGAAAACCTTCCGAATATGTGCCTCAGTGTTCATTCTATGACTGACCTGCAACATTTTAAATCAAACGAGCGTGAGATGGTTCACAGTATGGGGCTTCTTAACTTGAGTGTTCAAGCCAGTGGCTCAGTCACTTTGCTTATCTAGCTCATCAAAGTTGGGGAAGTCAGGTGGAGTCTCTCCAACAGCACAAGCCTCAGTTCTTATCCCCACAACAGCAAAAAGGCAGGACAGGAAGAGTAGGTGGAAGTGCAGTAGCATAGAGAGGCCAGCTGTGTTTTCATTTCCCTCCGATCTCCTCAGGAGTGAAGCTGGAAATGACATCGCAGTGCTCCTCAGTCTGGCTGCTGGTGAAGTTGGGAATGTCAAGTGGCTCAAGGACCGACTGGAGGAGAGAAGGACATCAAAAAGTCATAGTTACCCTAAAGATACTGCATGCATTATGTGCACTATGTGCAGTCTTGCAATCTCACTACCTGTATTAAAGTCGTTGGCAGGCTAGTAGTTTATTTACTGTGCCTGTATTGACCCACACAGCTCAGGGATCAGCTGGCCATGCTATTGTCAGAATAGTACTGAGGGGAGTACTACAAAAGAAGTTTGACACAACCACGCTATCTTTCCATTTGGTGAGTCAAAAAAAAAACAACAGACAACCCCAGTCCAGGATAACAGATATCGGATTTCTTTGTTAATCAGGTTTTCTTCCAGGCTCTGTGCACATGCCCATAAAAGGGAGCATTTGACATGTCATGTGACTCATCTTGCTTTCTTCACTCAAGAGGAACTGGTTGTTATATTAGAGAGCTATGAAAAGTACAAGGACTTATTGCAGTAAAAAGCACGGTTACTGCAAATGATGCAGGAGAGGAATGCTGGTAGGAAACTGTTTATCATGTCAGTCAGTATATTTATGTTACTACTGAGTGACTCTGAATGCAGCAACGTATTTCTAATATGACAAGCTGCACGTTTGAGCTGGTAAACTTCAAACTTAATTCAAACAATTTGTAAGGTCTATACACATGTGGACAAAATTGTTGGTACCCCTCAGTTAATGAAAGAAAACCCACAATGGTCACAGAATAACTTGAATCTGACAAAAGTAATAATAAATAAAAATTCTATGAAAATTCACCAATGAAAATCAGACATTGCTTTTGAACCGTGGTTTAACAGAATTATTTAAAAAAAAATAAACTAATGAAACAGGCCTGGACAAAAATTATGGTACCCTTAACTTAATATTTTGTTGCACAACCTTTTGAGGCAATCACTGCAATCAAATGATTTCTCTAACTGTCAGTGAGACTTGTGCTCCTCTCAGCAGGTATTTTGGCCCACTCCTCACGAGCAGACTGCTCCAGTTGTCTCAGGTTTGAAGGGTGCCTTCTCCAGACAGCATGTTTCAGCTCCTTCCACCGATGTTCAATAGGATTTAGATCAGGGCTCATTGAAGGCCACTTCAGAATAGTCCAATGTTTTCCTCTTAGCCATTCTTGGGTGTTTTTAGCTGTGTGTTTTGGGTCTTTATCCTGTTGCCCAGACAGTGTGTTGCCCTGTGTGTAGCATACAGTGTGCCCTATTGGTCGTGTAGTGAATGTGCTGAACAGTGTTAGTCCTCACATGTGGCATCTGGTATCGGGGTTGCAGGCAGCTTTTGATTTTTTTGCGATGAAAGATGAGGATGTGTGCTACTGCAGTTATCACAGCGACCAGGACAACAGCAACCACCACAGCTACTATTATCCTTGTATGGGTTGAGTAACCTGGGAAAATGCAAGGTACAGACACACAAACAAGACAGACAGAAGCAGTTCAGAGGATTTATGAGCTTTGAAGCTTCCACTGATTCAAGTTAACAAAAAACATCACTACAACTTTAAACAACATTTAGGCTGCTTGTTTTGTATACTGGTTGCAGCAACATTAAAACTAATACAAGCAGGTCTATGTCTGAGAGGTTTTTATGGATGTGTTGTTGCTTTTTTTTCCTGTTTTTGCCGTGAATCTGAACTGCTACACATTTTTAGAGTGATTTTGTAATCCAACAGAGTGACTGATCCAAAAACAGAGATTTTCAGGAGAGTTATTCCTTTAGGTGTTAGTCAAAATACAACACAACACTATTGATCAAATTTTATAGTAAATTAATTTTAAGATAATTGATGCTCCAAAGAGAAGCTTGTTTCAGGTTCTGTCAAGTTTCGTAGTTCCTCATTAATCTTTATTCTATCACAATGGACATTTAGGGGCAATTTAAAAATTGGTGCATTTCAGGAAGCTTTACCATAATGAGTCATGCGGCACATGTTACATAAGTTCAGCAACAGTGGCCACAAACACTTTCTTACCTGCCTCAGGGATGAGCTCACACTGGATACAGCTTCTCGGTCCATGAGGGGTGTCGTAGCGAACATACTGCACTGCTACACAGTACCGCTGGCCCTGGTCCAGTTCACTGATAGTTTTTGAGGAACTAACATCTATATACGCCTGAAGAAGAGTGGAAAATATTTGTTTAGATAACATTAACACATGCACGGCAGGTCACACTACAGACTTTTCTTCAACTCAGACCGCTGAGCTGTAACACGGAGTCGCAGTTTACCAACTGCAGTTTAATATTTTGTCACATGCTGGTGATTCTCAGGTTAAGTCCTAACATTTTAGTTTCACTGTTTCAGAAATCAAAAATAAACTGGGAAGCGGGGGCAGGGATGTCTGGAATGACCTGCTGCATCTGTGACCCGAGCAGAAGAAAATGGATGGATGGATGGATGGACATCACTTGGTGTATTGTCTAGTTTCGCATAATTGACAAACATCGCATGTGTACTGCGGTGCTCTTGGGTATATTTGAATGCAGCCAAAAGGAAGCTTATTGGAAAAGTGACCTAGTGGCAGCTGGTAAAAAGTGGGAGGGTCCAGGGTGCACCGAGCTGCGCCCCGTGAGAAAATCTGCAGCTGCCAATCAGAGCCCAGGCCAAGGTCACATGATTGCGAAAAGTTTATCGAGCTACTTACACACTCATTTGGGACAGGACGTGTAAAAATTAGTCTTTTAGCACGCAGTAAAGACTCATCTAAAATCTGTTAATAATACAAATATTGTTAATATGGCAAAAGAATATGAACGATACTATTAATTTTATGATTATTTTGTTGTAATTAATTGAAATTTAATATTACGTATGAGAACTACTTTTTATCTGGTAATTAGTAGCGGGATGGTGCTCCTGCGTCCCGTATTGACCAGCCGCCACTGAAGTGACCTACGTCTGAATGCCATTACTTTAATGGACTGATGAAGCCAGCCATGTTCCATCCTATGTCTGAAAGGGGCTAAAAAAAACCCCATTCCTTACCATTCTAACAAGCAGCATTTATTGTTTTGGGTTGTGTTAAGAGATTTTTAATACCTACATTGATCACTGGCTTTTTTCAGATTAAAACAAAAATACTGGCACTCCTGGACAAGCTGCAATGATGTGGAAATGGGCGGTTTTAGTCAAGTTTTAGTAAAAAGCTCAGAAGACGATATGAAGCCACTGATGAAAGCAGCTTCAAATACAGGAGCAGGTATTAATGCAATGTGCTTAATGTCAAGTTCGAAAATGGTGCAATAAAAAAAGAGTCACTTTAGAAATTAAGAAAAATCCTTGCTTGGCTGACTCCACATGAAAATGAATCTTTTTCTCATGTTGGACCTTCTGTCAAAACTAAGCTGGCATCTGAGCTTGTTGACAAAGGTCTCCAGAGTTTATATTGTGAAGAAAATACAAAGGTGATAGCTGTCTGTCTTCCCCTTCCACTATCTGTGCTACCATTTTTAAAATCCTATTCGCTACAATCAACAATAACCCGCTGAACAGCAACCGACACATTGAAAATAGTTTTTACAAACATTTGGATTGTGCAATAAGACTGACCTGCTTGGTTCTTTTGACAAATTTCTGTCACAATCTATAAAGAAAATGTTTACAACATTTGCTGTCTACATGGGGACAACCTACCTGTTTGACCAAGGGCTATGTAAAAAGTTGAAATTTGCAAGCATGTTTTCCCTCCAAACAAGAGTTTAATAAACCTCCTTTGTAGAACACAAGGCAGGGCATTCGAAAAAGAACTACCAGGAAACATGTCGTCTCTACAACCAAACAGCCTTTTCAAGATTAGGCAGTACCAAGTGGAGACAGTTTGACAGAAGCTGTACATAAGAAATAACAACGTCACGTTGCATTCTTGTTAAACTGATAAGGATTCTCACCTCCAGTTGCTCTCCCTTGCCATAGTAAATCCTATGTTTTATTTGGCCTGCATAATCCGGAGCCAGACTGTGGTTCATGGTCAGCTGTACAGTCAGGGAGCCAGGCCGTGCAGTCAGACTGAAATCAGGGGTACAGGAGTCCCCTGCAAGAGTACAGAGGGTGTTGTCGATCAGGACCAATCTATGCCATTTGCAGTGTGTCAATATTCTCCCATGAGCAGCAACAACCTTGCAGACTTTTAAAAAATAATATTACAAAAACCTCAACTGTAACCTACAAATCACTCTAGAACAATTCTGATAAAGTCAGGAAAGATTTCTGTGGGTGTTTTCAGCTTTTTACACCATGTGGTGTACACTGTGGTTAGGCTGGTTAACAGCAGCAATCACATGATAGAAAATGCATGATAAAAAAGGCTATATTTTGGTTCAGTTTCTGCACCAGCTGCTGACCAGTGGAGGTGAGCCCCAAGTCAGTCATTTTTTCTGTGTCTAACTCATCACACCACTCACAATCAAGTCTGATTTACTCAGCTACAGCGATGTGATTGCCTTATGTGTTTCTACTTAGTGCTGTATGTAGTAAAGGAGAATCGCAAAAGATCTATGCATCAACAAAACTGCTGCCAACATAAGGCATCTTACCATGTCTGCTGCAGGCTTTGGCTGGTTTGGAGGTCTTCCCATGACTCTCTGCCGTCACACGCAGCATTACGCAGCCATGCTCTTCCTTAGCTTTGGTGAACGCTACATTACAGGAATTGAAAGCTATCTGGTGACAGTCTGGAACAACTATCCACTCATCAGTTTTATAGCTGGAACAAGGAACAGTATCAACACGATATGAGTCCAGAGTTTGTCATGATGGCAGTATCCTTCATTTATATGATGAAAGACATCACTGGTGGTACCGCTGATAGATTAATAAGTGATGGAAATAACTATCGACTGTTCACCATTTATTCATAAAATGCCCCAAAATTATATTAAATGACTATTTGACAAGCCAAATGACTCCCACAAGCCAAGGTGATGCCCTTAAGTCATGGTTAGTTCAATCCAGAGACCAAACTTATTCAGTTAACTACACATATAATAAAATAAAATAACAAAAAGGATAGAATTTTCACATTTAAGAAATTGCAACCAGCAAATCCAGCTTTAAAAAATGGCAAAAACAATTAACTATCCATCCATCTATTATCTGTACACCGCTTGATCCTGACTAGGGTTGTGGGGGACTGAAGTCTATCCCAGCTGACTCAGGGTGAAGGCAGGTTCACCTGGACAGGTAACCAGTCTATCACAGGGCTACACTTAGAGACAGACAACTAAGCACACTCACATTCACACCTACGGACAATTTTGAATCGGGGAGGACATGGAGACTCCACACAGAAAGATCAGGGTGTCCTCACCGGGACTTGAACCGGCAACCTTCTAGCTGCGAGGCGACGGTACTATCCACTGATCCACCAACAATTAACTAATCATTACTAATCAAAATAGTTGCACATTAATTTCCAGTATCAAAATAATCAATTAATCGATGCAGCTTTAAACATTACATAAAAATATCATGTGTTTTACCAGACAGAATGCTAGCTGTGAGCTTTGTCAAGAGAAATGTGTTTACAGATGACAACAAATGAAATCTTGAAACAGGGGAAAGAAATCACTGCCTTTAGGTTTCTTGTCTGTATACAGATTCCATCCATTTTCTATACACCGCTTAATCCTCATTAGGGTCGCGGGGGGGCTGGAGCCTATCCCAGCCGACTTAGGGCGAAGGCAGGGGACACCCTGGACAGGTCGC